TTAAATAATGATGAAAGCAGAACACCTAGGCTACAGAAAAATAAAATTGTTTATCATGTATTAAAAAACTTTCTGAATGTGAACATATTTGAAAATTTGCATGAACATCAATTTGATAATTTGCCTAACAATTGTAATCATTTAATAGAACTTGTAAGGGCTGAATGTGAAAAGTATATCGATGTACGAATAAATCATGAAGTCAAATTATTTAATTCGGTAAAATCTACGAAAAGGCAAATATTAAATAAATTAATATTATTTAGAGGATAATAAATATATTTAAATTATTTTGTAGTTTTAGTTAATATGACACTAAAATATACTATTTTCTGAATAATTACAAACTTAAAATTCAATATATGTCATAAGATGCAATATAATGTTTAATATGTAATAAAAATATTGCTTAATCCGGATCTGCTTAAAGATGCGGGCGATCAGATTGCCTTCCACACTCCACTTCCCCGGATTTTGCATTCTCTGATACCCGTGCATTGGAATTAGATACGGCCAGTCTAGGTGGTCTGTGGCTGGAACCACGCGTTCAACTGAAGGTGAGGCGATAATGGATATCTTTCTAATGCATGCATTAGAAAGAGATCGAGATGTCTCCCGGTAACGCCCGACGTTTCCCCTGAACATATCCCTGAATGATATTTAACAATTTTGACATGCCAACATTGCCAACGTCAAGTTTATATGTCGTTTTTAACCAAAAATAAACATCGGTTACAAGAAAATAAAAATTTGAAGCAAGCAATATGGGCGATTATATTAACAGCAATCAATCAGAATTTTATTGGTCCCAGCAAAACCAAACGCCTGTTGTAAGCCAAACATTTTATGAACAAGATTATTCGCAATTTACGAATCAACAGCTAGGTAGAAAATATAGGTTATAAGTTTTTCAATTAATCTAAATGATTTTATTTTAGAATTCAACACAGCTGATGACTATGGCGACCAAAATTTTTCCACTTACCCCACACAGATGCTAATACCCGATCAATACAACAATGAACATAAAGGAATCGATGAATTTGATGAGCCACCTTTATTAGAGGAACTGGAAATTTATCCCGATCGTATCCTAGAGAAAGTGCTAGCAGTATTGAATCCTCTAAGAGGACATAGCCTAACCGATGACGCAGAATATCTCACTAAAGAATCTGACCTGGCAGGACCTATCATGTTCTACTTGATATTAGCCGTTGGATTATTTTTGGCAGGGAAGAACGCACACTTTGGATACATTTATGGCATATCTATGATTTCAAGCATATTAATGTACTGTTTACTCTCGTTAATGGCATCTACGAGTAACACATTTACGTTAAGCACGGTTGCAAGTATCTTAGGTTATTGTTTGATTCCGATTATGGCACTATCTTTATTAGGGGTGTTCTTTAAACTCAGTGGTCCTGCAGGTCTTATTTTAGCAGTTCTAGCAGTAATATGGTCAAGTATATCAGCCTCGAGACTATTTGTAGCAATTTCGGGTGATAAACAGCAACAGCCATTAATAGCCTACCCTTGTCTGCTGGTTTATGGAGTGTTCATTTTATTAGTGGTGTTTTAAAATTACTTTTAAGTAGCATTAAATATTTAAATATATATTTTTAAATCATTTTGTAATATTTATGAGAATAAATTAAATAACAAGTAATTTAAAAAAGAATTGACTGGAAGGCTTTAAAATTAACACTATAGATCAATATTGTTACGTTTGCGTTAAGAGTTACTCTTGCAAATTCTCTTTATACTTTTTACGCAATAAATATTTTTAAAGTCCACAGTTTTATTTTAAACCAACTCTTAAAAAAATTATAAGAATATGAAAATAATGAACTAGATGATTAATTTAGTTTTAGAAATAGATTAGAATATTTTCATACATGGAACTTAGACCTGCGACTATCAGAATTTCTTACATCTTTGTTTAGCGTTCACACTTTTTTTAGCAAACCATTTCTTTCACACCTACATGTGTATAAATCTGGCTATTAAACTTTTTTAATGTGCTATCCGTATTGAAATATGAAACATAACCTACAAAAAATATGTCATTTAAATGACATTGCCACCATAGAAAAAATAATATACAAGATAGAACGAAATCTCCCTAAATAATCCACTAAACCATTACCACAGCGCCACTGGTGATTTGGAAGCCTAACTAATGCATAAATGTAGACGACCGTACATATGCATATGTACATTTGGTTGCCTAATTTAAGTGCAGTATTTATGGTTGCCCATGGGTCTTAATTATTATTAAATATTTTTCCTTCATATTTAAAAGTTTAAATATATATTAAAGTAAAGAA